CTCTCTCCTCAAAGAGAGCCCTCTGAGAGTGAAGCAAGGCAGTAACAAACGCTATCAAAACGGCCGTCAGCTCCCCTTTTTTTTTTTTTTCCCGAGAGCTGACTCTGCGTGCTTGCTCTCAAGCAGACAACAAACAAGCTGTGTGTATCCCCACCCGTAAAGTAACGCGGGCAGGGAAGAACACACAGCCTGACCGCTGCCTGCCCTCGCCTTAGTGTCTGGTTTTGTCTTGCTTTAGATTTCAAACAGATATCAGACTGACACACACACAGAGCGCTTGCTGAATGACAAAAGCTGACGCTGGTCTCACCGCACGTGCTTTTATAGCTTCCTGGTCATTACGTCACCCGCCGTGATGTCTCGCCCATCTATTGGTCTGATTACACACGAGGTTCAGAGCCCGTCACGCTGAAGGGCGTTCCCCTAGCGTTTCCGACGCAGCTCGAGTTCCTGAAGAGGAACTCCCTGGTTAAACATTAAAGCACACTAGTGCGATAAACAGTACAAATTTTCATCCGTTTTTATTTAATATTGTGAAAATTATTCATAAATAATGCTTTTTTCACTCAAAAAATGAGGTGCCTACTCTCAGATAAATGAGGCCTACGATTAATTAGAAGCAAATATAAATACAAAACCAGTCCTAAATGAAAGAAAAGAAGTTGACAAAAAGACTGAATCTAATATTTGGTGATAATATAGCATAATGAGTGATTTATAAGCAATTTTTTGAGGCCGGGTCATTTTTGCCTGGGAACACCACAAGTGTGACTTTGTGCCATTTTGTACAAAATAAAAGCATTTAAAAGCAAACTCCCTGATTAAACATTAAAGCACACTATTGTGATACACAGTGCAAATTTTCTTCAGTTTTTATTTAATATTGTGAAATCTATTCATAAATAATGCTTTTTTCACTCAAAAAAATGAGGTGCCTACTTTCAGATAAATGAGGCCTACGATTAATCAGAAGCAAATATAAATACAAAACCAGTCCTAAATGAAAGAAAAGAAGTTGACAAAAAGATTGAATCCAATCTTTGGTGATAATATAACATAATGAGTGATTTATAAGCAATTTTTGAGGCCTTTTTGCTCTGTAACCTCGTTAGTGTGAAAGGGTTCTGAACACAACACAAGGGTTAATGACAGAATATTCATTTTTGGGTAACTGCAAGCTTTGAATGCTTATATCTTCTAAATGTGAATTTAGTCACTGTTTTGGAGCACACTGCCTTATAGATAACCTTAAGACTAACATATTGATACTAACACCCAAAAAACTTTCATTTTGATTTCATGGGGACTTTAAGACAAAACCGACTGCATTTACAGGAATAGTCTCCAAGACGGGCATTTTGACATAACTTTTCGTTAAGTGTGTAGCAATACGAATATGAAGCAGCACAATTGTTTTCAACATTTATAATAATAAGAAATGTTTCTCGAGCACCAAATCAGCATATTACAATGATTTCTGAAGGATCATGTGACACCACACTAAAGCGTTTATTATTATTTATTAGCTCTAAAAGGGGAATATTTATGATGAATCATAACATGGTTATGATTCATAATAAATATTTAGATTATATCTTCGAATTAACTGTAGCAGAATCAATATTACAATTATTTGATCTGTCCGTCCACCGAGCAGACAATATAATTAAAATTGTAATAACATTCCACAATATTATTGTTTTTACTGTATTTTTGAATAAATAAATTCAGCCTGGGTGAACATAAGAGACTTCTTTCAAAAACATGAAACTACTGTACCTTGTACGTGTTAATACTCCACTTTTTCATGCTGTCAAGTTTCTCTACAGCTACTCCTTTTGTGGCCTCCTCTGACATCATGGATGGGTTGCTGTTGCTGTGGTGCATGCTGGGAGCTGAGAGTAGAAAATGTAGGTACTTTTATTGTAAATAGGGGGCCATACCAAAATACACAATACCATTTCAAAATGGACATTCTGGATATACACGGTTTTGAATATCACAACCCAGTTGTGTCAATAAAGGTCACGGCACTCACTTTATAGACACCTCATGTAATTGACCATTTTCAAACTAGAGACTTCAAAATTCTACATAGAACGAATCAATTTATTCCTGAGACTAAAAAATGAATAGGGACGAGAATAAAAGGTGTGATGTCAGTAAATGAGTAATGACTGATGATTATGGGCTGAAAATGTGTCTGGCGGTGACAGGAAGGGGTGAGGAGGCCCTGAGATACCTGGGTAATATCCTGGCTGGTTTGCTATCCGACTGGCAGCTGAATGGCTGGGAGTGATGCCCCTGGATTTGGAGCGGATGTCTGAAATGAACGAATAACAGTGGACAGGTGGAGGAATGGGATGGAGGTTTAGTTCAAGTGAAAGGCGTTTAGGGAAATTGCAACATTGAGTGTTTTATAGTAATATGGATGAGTAACACACATGAACTGGGTGGTACAATGATTATTCTGTAGTGGATTACAGTAAACAATCAAATGCATAATGATTTCATAGACTGAATAATCAAAATGTATCAAAATAATATTATTGGCGATTATGATGTATGCATGACAATTATGATGTTCTATCAAACATGAACAGTGAAATGCTTCAAAGTAAAAGTTCAGAGGTTTGTAAGAGCAAGGTGACCAAAAGAGATGAAAGTTATATCTTTATAAAATGGTAAGGTGATAAAAGTTGGATGTAGTAGATGAAAATGAATGAAAAACACGGCGGCTGTTAAAGGGCTGACTTTGTACAGTGACGGTCATAATAAATGTGCTAAAAAAAACTGGCAATAAAATGAAAACAATATATACAAACTACCATTCAAAAGTTTGGGATTGTCAAGATTTTTTCAATGTTTTTAAAATAAGTTTTTTTTAATGCTCACTGAGGCTGCATTTATTTAATCAAAAATACAGCAAAAACAGTTCTATTGTTAAATATTATTACACTTTAAAATAACTCTTTTCTGTTTTAATATGTTTTAAAATGTAATTCATTCCTGTAAATGCAAAGCTGAATTTTCAGCAGTCATTACTCCAGTCCTCAATGTTATATGATCCATTACCATTAGTAATCATTCTAATATGCTGATCAATGTTCAAAAAACATTTATTTTTATTTTTATTATCAATGTTAAAAACAGTTGTACTTTTTTGTGGAAACGCAGTTCAGGAAGCTTTGAAAAGAAAGTTCAAAAGTACTGCATTTATTTGAAATACAATTTTATATATAAAAAAATCCTGACCACAAATTTTTTTGAATGGTAGTATATAATATATGTATATAAGACTATATTTAATTAATATGAAATGAAAACTAATTCTTGCAGTCAATTTTCGATTTAAGTTACTTTCAATTTATCTGTTCTAATTACTTTACAAATGCCAGAAGATGATAACAACATAAAGGCTCCTCTGACTATTAAATTGACCAGTCAGAATGGATATTCAAATGACACAACATAATAAATAAAATTATATAATAAAAATAAAAAATTCCTCATGGACCATCACTGACTGTGTCGGTTAGGTTCGTATTCTGGCATGTCTATTAGTGCTGTGTTAATGTGTTAAGGCCAATCATGTTATTGAGCATAAAGAAATACCATTAAATGATTTATTGTGCATTCCACAGTTCAAATATATCAGCTCACAAACATTTTTTGTTAAAAAAACATGTTTACAGTAAATTTAAAACAAACAAACAAGAGGTTTATTTTGCATATGTAAACGTGCATCCACTATGCGACTGTCCTCTGCACCCTATAGAAAAAAGCCAAACATTTTGCTGTTTAAATGCTGACAAACACATTTTACACCACCAGGGGAGAGAGAGGAAGCTGTAGGGACAAAGATTCTAAAATAAGATCTTCTGTCAAGTTAGCATGCATATATACAGACACCTGGTTTGGGCGCGTTGCCACATCTTCTGTCAAAATACTCCGGGTTGAAACGTATAGCTGGTCCTAAACATATACGTCAGCAGAGATGTAAGCTGAACTGTGCCAGACTTCAAATCATGACTGCTACATCAGATCAGATCAGAATCGGATACCATTTCGAGCTATTGAAGTACTCTTTACCTTTGATGGAACTGGTGGGTATGATGCCCTCTGCTGCCCCTCCGTAGCCTCCAGACACAATGCTGGTTTCATTCAGGTTTGGTCCAGACACCATCACCTGCTGCAAGTCCTGAATATGGAGGAATTTAATATCACAGAATATTACAATCTATAGCACAGAGACAAAAACACATTTATCAGAAACTGCACACTAGGTGGGGAAAAACACATGTGGGTATCAAAAGTAAAGGATGGAGCAGTGTTTTTTTGGTATTATTTATATACTATCATAATATTAATTTTTTTATTAATATATTGGAATTTTTTGGTATTTTCCGTTTTCATTTTAATTTTGCTTTGTCATTTTTTTATATGCTGCTGTGATTTTTTTATATTCCTGATTAGCTTTAATTTATTTTATTTTTTATTTTATTAATTTTTTTTAGTAATTTCAGCATTTCAACTTAAACTTACTTTCAGGTATTTCATATTTCTTTTTTTCCCATCTAATATTTATATTTTATTTTATTTATTTATCTTTTTTGGATTTCCAAACTTAATTTTTAATAGTTTTAGATTGAGTTAACAATAGCAAAACTGGGATGATGACAGTAAGAAATAAGCACACAAAATTATAAAAAAAAAAATAAAAAAATTCTTTATTTATAATTTATATACTAGACCAGGGATCCTCAAATTTGGCCCGCAAGATCCACTTTCCAGCAGAGTTTAGTTCTAATCCTTATCAAACTCACCTGAGCATGCTATTCAATGTCTTCAGGTTCATTAGAAATCAATCAATCAGGGTTGAAGCTAAACTCTGCAGTGCATTGGCCCTCCAGGGCAAGATTTGAGGAGCCCTGTACTAGACTAAAAGCTTATTTCTGTTTAAAAATACAGACTTCTATCTATATTAAAGCCTTGCCTTCTACTCAAAACCTTTAAAACTATGGCAATTCAACAAGCTGGCTAAGAAATCTATCAATTAACTAGACATCCTTAGTTCAAATGAAACTTTTAGGAATAGTCACTATAAAACACATGCAAACTAATCTAATGTATTTGCATGGCTGCTTTCCATGTCTCTGCTTGACTTTTCTGTCCAATAAACAGCTCCTGTTTGTAATAAATCCTACACCAACATTTGCCCAAACCCCATGATAAGTCAGACTATTATGTGTGCAACTATGCAAACCATCAACCACACTAAAATCAAAGGGAATGGGGCTCCAACATACGGGGACACCCACAAACTCTCCCTCACCATGGCCACTGGCAGTGTGCCTACAATTTCATCTAAGCTCCCACCAATCTGTGCTCCCTGTGACATGAAGAAACATAAAATGTGTGAAGACAGTGTCAAAAAAGATGGTGAGACAGATACGTAGAGAAAACAAACATATGCTGAAATAACCAAAAACAACCGAGCCGCACGACTTAAATTAACAGTGTCTATATTTACAACAGCTCATTAATGTGTGATTAAGCTAACTGTTCAATGCCTCTCAAAGCCTGCCACACGATATCCACAGGAACAGAACGTCACATTGCATTCAGGTTTGGTCCATGGCGTAACTGAGCGGCAGGCCTGAAAATAGGATGTGCATTTTTCTCATTAGGTTTGATGGGCAGTGGATACACACCTGCTCAAGACTGTCATCCTCCGCCATCCTGCTGTCCCCATTACTGCTGATGGGGATTTCCATAGTGGCAGCTTTGCTCAAAATACTATCTGTCATGATGAATATCTACAAGAAAAGACACATTGCAGATGAGAACAACAGACAGAATGATAGATAAAATGACAGCCAGCCAGCTATACAGACTAGATAGATAGATAGATAGTGTGTTTCCCTACTGTCTACCACAGTGACCCTAAGCATGTGTATGTTTATATTTTAAAGGGGTCATATGATGCGATTTCAAGTTTTCCTTTCTCTTTGCAGTGTTACAAGCTGATTGTGCATAGATAAGATCCCTGAAGTTGCAAAGACTAAAGTCTCAAAACCAAAGAGATATTCTTTATCAAAGTTAATACTCTGCCACGCCCATTCTAATGGCTCGTTCTAACACGCCCCCACATATCTACCTCACTATGTGGAAATATTTGCATAATGCCGCCCAAATGTTCACGCAAAGAAAGAAGGTGTGGTTTCAGTAACCACAGTTAGTGTTGAAGCAGCCATGTCAGGGAGACACTGTGTGTTTCTAGGTGAAAGCAAAAGCACTTTATTTGGAGAGATCGAGAGAGAGAGAGCGAGAGAGATTTAACACATTCCTGCTGTAACTGACTGAAAGCATTCTATCTCATTAATTGTACAAAATAATAAGTGGGGTATTCTTTACTATACTCACTGTGTGTGTATGTGTGTGCATGTTTATGAGGACACAAATTTGTATAATGACATGGGTACGACATAGGTATTACAACGAGAGGGTGATTTATGAGGACATTTTCAGTGTCCCCGTAATTAAAAGGCTTATAAATAATTCAGAATTCGTTTTTTTGAAAATCTAAAAATGCTAAAAGTTTCCTGTGAGGGGTAGGTTTAGGGGTAGGGTTGGTGTAGGGCAATATAAAATATGGTTTGTACAGTATAAAAACCATTACGCCTATGGAGAGTCCCCATAAACCATAAAAACAAACCTGTGTGTGTGTGTACTCAATTTTAGTCTCATCTGCCTCAGAATCTTCAAAGAGCGTTTTGGCAAAGCTCAGTCGTGGCTGCATGTGGCCTTTCCATACAAGCCATATTTGTGGAGAATTTGTGATATTGTTGTCACATGCACACAATGACAACTCTTTGTCATAAATTCCTGCAACTGCTTCAGTAGTGACATTAAAACGAATTGATTAAACCAAGTTCAGAATATGCATATAAATTATTAGTAATTTGTTTAATTGTTTTTTTTCTTATTTAATTTTTTTCATTTATTATTATTAACAGAAAATAATTAATAAAAAAAAGGCCAAGCTGAAGATGAAAGAAGCGGTTACTGAGTCTTTTGGGAATAGATGTTAGCTGATGTGTAAAACGCCTCATATGCTTCACCTTTGCAAGCTAATATGCATCAAGCATGAGGAGGAAGTGCAAAATTGGAAAAGTGTGCTTTTGCTTGACCGTTCAAATAAACATCCTTTAACTTTTAACCTTTGACCTCCACATTCTTGTGTACACCTAAAAAAATCATGGTTAAAGTAAAGAATAGTTATTTTATTCTCTACCAAAGAAAAGTAGAGAAAATAGCCAAAAATGGTCTCTATAGCTGAATTTTGGGTAATGATTTAAAAATATATACATTAATAAAAATCATGTCTTGGACTTGGCAATCTAATAAATATCATAAAATTAAAATAACTGATGGGCAAATAGGATCTTTAAAAGATTATTCTGATTGGGTGGCCATCTACTACAATACTGCTGGGTTCACCTGGGGCCAAAGAAGTTAAAAACACAGGCTTTAATTGCAATTAGGTTTCAATTCCAAACACATAGCTTACAGAAGTTGTGTCTAAACCACAAGCCTTCTGTTTAGAGCATTTTTTAGTCTGGAAACCTTAGGTTAAATCTGACAATGAGGCAGACCAAAACAGCCACTCACACCAGACGTATTTAGATGCACGTTTACTGGTACACATAAACTGAAAACAAGGCCTGTTAAATTTAATGTCTCCATGTTTGAAACCTTTGCAAGGACATTCATTACCGAACCATTCTGTGCCTTCGAAAGCTCTGCAGCTTCCCACTCTTTTTCTCAGTTCAGTAAATGTCCCGTCACGCTTTTAATGATCATTAAATGCGCCTCCAGATGTTGGCCAGCGGTTCTTCCTCACACAGCCCTTTCTGAGTTCCTTGACTGCAATCAAGGCACAGAGACAAGGACTTCAAAGAAAAGCAAGAAAGAAAACATGGCAACACACAATGCTCTAGATTTCTTGCCCGCTATGTCACTATTCCCAAGCAAAATAATTACAAATATTGCTCTGTGTTTACACCGTGTAGCATATGGACCTGGTCCTTTTATAGTTTTTGTAATGTGCCATTTCAAACAAACGTTTTAACTTTTTTTTCTCTTGCTTGCTGTTGAATCAGGCTCAGTGCAATTCGTCATTGTTATGGATCCATAATATGCGTTACAGTGAACATCAAACACCAAACCTCTTCCTGAAAACACAAGGTGAAAAGAGCGAAACAACAATGTAATCCTTAGAAGTCAGTGCAACATGTTAAAATGGAACAGTAAAAAGGAATAGTCATAATTTATTCACCCAAACCTGTTGTTTTATTTTTCCCTGCATAAAAAATAAAATAAAATAAGCAAAAGATTACCAGTTAGGCTCCACTTTTTTTTCTCACCTTAAGTGAGCCTATAGTAGCTGAATTAATAATCAATGCTGATTTTCCAGCTTGCAAATTCTCATAAGAGGAAAGATCACTTTGAAATTTGAATAGCAAAGCAATTTTTTTTTCAGAGCAGCTGTTCTCTCTTTCAGATCTTGGCGAAAAAATTCAGTGATGTTATTTTCCATGTCTTCTATTATCCATTAAGCATCTATATTTCAGGGCTAAATTGGGTGGATTTCAGGCTCTGTTTAATCCAGCTGGAATTAGCAAGAGTTATAGCTACGGTGAGGAAGAACCACAGCTGAACAAATTTCTGCTGGGAAATTGGGATCATCTGACCAAACATTTTTGAAAAAGTAGCTAGTGGCATTTCAGAAACTGTAGAGTATTTTGGCTTTTCATAATTAAATTAAACAATATTGGTTTTTCAGTTCTGTGTAGTGACATTTTTTCATGATAATTCTGAGAAACCAAAAAGTCAATTCTGTAAGCAGAACTTCTGCCTATTTAACATGTTATATTGTCATGGTGGAACAGTTTGAATACAAAACTATTCAGGCTGCTTATAAGAAGATGAGTTTTACCACAGCTAGTTCCTAATCCACATCTTCAGAAGAGTTTCCTCCATGTGAATATTACACATGGCTATTTGCCAGGAATACTGTGTTTATGTATACAGCTTTTCTGAATATTAATGAAATTGGTTTTGGCTCAAAGAAAGATGACAGATTATTTTGATTTTCATCTTTTCTTCTGTACTTGCTATTCTCCCTGAAGTCCAGTTTCTACACACGCACACACACACACACACACACACACACACACACACGTTAGGTTTCTGTGAATTGTGGGGATTTTCCATAGACTTCTATTACTTTTATACTGACCAAATTATATTTTCTATCCCCTAACCCAGGGGTTTTCAAACTTTTAGGACATGCTCCCCCCCAAGTTCACACACACACACACACACACACACACACACACAAACAAGGCCAGTGTATCCAAAACAGGGATGAAATTGCACAGCTCACTATCATAGACTGGTCTTTTGCGATCCTCCCTAATTTCTAGTCTGGGACTAGAGATACCAAATAGACTTTCACTTGGGAAAATGGGTTGTGACCAGAAAGCCATTGTCTCTTGCTTGTTTACTTTAAGCAATTAACATGTTTTTCTTGATTTTGTGGTTGTGTCAATGCCACCCACAGCCCTATATAAGCTTGCATGTTGTAAACATGTACAGCATCACAATTATTCCATATTCACACATTTTATTCCATATTAGGACATTTAAAGGGACAGTTCACTCAAAAATGAAGAAAAAAACACACATAACTGTTTTTGCTAAACATCTTTTGTGTTTATTCACACAAGGGTGAGTAGATGATGACACAATTTAAATGTTAAATTCCTAATCCACATCTTCAGAAGAGTTTCCTCCATGTGAATAATACACATGGCTATTTGCCAGGAATACTGTGTTTATGTATACAGCTTTTCTGAATATTAATGGAATTGGTTTTGGCTCAAAGGAAGATGACAGATTATTTTCATTTTCATCTTTTCTTCTGTACTTGCTATTCTCCAGAGTCTCTGTAGAGACCTGAAGTCCAGTTTCTACACACACACACACACACACACACACAAATAAGTGTTTCAATGCCACCCACAGCCCTATCTATGCAAGCTTGCATGTTGTAAACATGTACAGCATCACAATTATTCCATATTCACACATTTTATTCCATATTAGGACATTTAAAGGGACAGTTCACTCAAAAATGAAAAAAAAACTTTTGCTAAACATCTTTTGTGTTTACTCACACAAGGGTGAGTAGATGATGACACAATTTAAATTTCTGGGTCACTTTAATGAACTAAATATTTAAAATAGACCATAAAATAATTTTGAGTTTCACTAACCCCTCCTTCATTCATCATGATCAGAATCTCTTTCCATTGCCACCATTTGACCCTGTGTGTCATGAGAGCAGCTTGTAAAACCCAATAACAAGCAGCTCCGCCAACCTGCTGGTAACACTATGACTCTTCCTGTTAATTTCACCTGCATAATCAAAGAGACGACCAAAAAAAGAGCCCGCAAATTTGTATAAAAAAACTATTTAGGCATCATAAATCCTGTTGGGGTTGTTAGCATAATATCCTAAGTGTTCATTTTGTTTTCTGTGAATACTAGTTGTGGTTGCTTTTCAGCATCTGCAGTCATGGCTTGCAATGGCAGATGCAGGGAATTTAAAGAAGGCCAGGTCCTGTGAAGTTACAGGCAGTAATCTGAGCTCTGTGTGCCATGCATTTTAACTATTCGTGCTGCTTTGCTATGACTGCACACAATTAATGTTCCTTACAACCTTATAGAACAATTCTGTCTGACTGCCCTGTTAAAGACG